GCCGGTGGGGAAAGCCCCACCCCCAACCCCCAACCCCACCCCTCTCTCTCCCTTTAAGTGTGTGGAACCCGTGTTTCCTCCCAAGCCCGTTTTTCCTCCCAAGCCCGGAGTGCCAGCTTCGTGCTCTTAAAAGGGAAACGCGGCTGCTCTTAAAGGGGAAACGCCAGCTCCTGCATTTAAAAGGGAAACGCCGGCTCCTTTAAGGGCAGGAAACTGCCGTTTCTGGAGATCCGACACACGGGCAGGTGGGGGGGTGGCGGACGTCCCCAACGTGACGTCATCACGTCGGGGATGCCCCACCCCCTCCAGGAACGCCCCCAAAGTCCCCCGCTGGGCGTGGAAGATGGACTTGGCAACCCTACCACCAGCTCCATCCCACACCAAATCCCATTAGAGCATAAAGACAACCTGCTAAATGAGACAAGTGTCCAGCATCCACACAGTAGCCACCCAGTGGCCTCGGGGAGCCAAATAACAGGGCATTGGGGCCAAGGCCCTCTGCCGGTGCTGCCTCCCAGTTCTGGTGTTTCAGAGGTTTGCTGCCTTTGAATATGGAGGCTCCCTTGAGTCCCCATGGCTAATAGCCATTGATGGGCCTCTCCTCCATGAATCTGTCTCACTCCCTTCTCCTGGGGGGGGGCAGAGCCCAGAAGCCCCTTCAAGAGCTAAGCAGATATCGAAAGCCTTACTCACTTGTAGTCCTCCTGTCTCCTCTTCAGCTGTTTCTTTCGGTGCTTTTTGAGCAAGGGGAGTGAGTCCATGGCGGCTGTTTTCGCTGCAGGGACAGATACCAAAATGGTGCATCTAGCAAAGAGCTTCAGTTTTGATCTAGATAACATCTGGTTCAAAACAACTCGCCGGTCTTGTAATATCTCAGCAAAGGAAGCTCTTGGAAGGCGTACTATGCACTGTGTCAGGGGAAATGTCAGTCCGTCTTCAAGAGATGAGCCCCAAACCAGAATCATCACTTTCTGAGACCATGCTAGCAGGTTTGGTCAGGGAACCGTGACAAGTGGTTGTGTGGTTCAGTTAGTTAGGCTTGGATCTAAAGGCCAGAGTAGACATCATAGGCCATTTATTTACCCATGGGTCTACCCATTCATTTTCAGTCACGAGACAGTGTGTGACAGCAATAAAAAAGGCCAATGCTATGCTGGGGATTATTAGGAAGGGTATTGAAAACAGATCAGCCAATATCATAATGCCCCTATATGAATCAATTGTGCGACCTCATTTGGAATACTGTGTGCAGTTCTGGTCACCACACCTTAAAAAGGATATTATGGCTTTGGAAAAAGTGCAGAAAAGGGCAACTCGAATGATAAAAAGGTTGGAACACTTTCCATACGAAGAAAGATTAAAGCGCTTGGGGCTCTTTAGCTTGGAGAAACGACGGCTGAGGGATAACATGATCAAAGTTTGTAAGATCATGGCTGGGATAGAGCAGGTCGAGAAAGAAGTACTTTTCTCCCTTTCTCACAATACAGGAACTCGTGGGCACTCCATGAAATTGCTGAGCGGTCGGGTTAGAACAGATAAAAGGAAGTACTTCCTCACCCAAAGAGTATGTAGAAAAGAGCAACTAGAATGTAAAAAGGGGACGTTTCCCGTATGAAGAAGGTTAAGGCCCTTGGGGCTTTTTTGTTTGGAGAAACGACGACTGAGGGGTGACATGATAGAGGTTTACAAGATTATGCATGAGATAGAGCAGGTAGAGAAAGAAGTACTTATCTCCCTCCACAAGAACTCGTGGGCACTCAACGAAATTGCTGAGTGGTCGGGTTAGAACGGATAAAAGGAAGTATTTCTTCACCCAAAGACATGGAATTCACGGCCACAGGAGGTGGAGGCGGCTACAAGCATAGATGGCTTCAAGAGGAAATTGATTCAACATCTGGAGCAGAGGTCGATCAGTGGCTATTAGCCACATCGTATAGATAGGAACTCTTGGTCTGGTACCAGTGAGGGTCTCTAGCCTTGGTGCTTGGGGGGGGGGGCAGTGGGAGGGTTTCTAGTGTCCTGGCCCCACGGTTGGACCCCCTGAGGGCACCTGGTATTTCTGGCCACTGTGTGACAGAGTGTTGGACTGGATGGGCCATTGGCCTGATCCAACATTGGCTTCTCTTGTGTTCTTATGTTCTTATCAGGGGATCCATTTTTTGTTACAGAAAATGAAGAACAAAAAAACCCTTCTTTTCCCACATAAGAGCAGATAGACACATAAGGACACAAGAAGAGCCCTGTTGGATCGAACCAATGGCCCATCTCGTTCAGCATCCTATCTCACCCAGTGGCCAACCAGTTCCTCTGGAGGGCCAACAACAGGGCATAGAGGCTGAGGCCTTCCCCTGAGGTTGCCTCCTGGCTCTGGGATTCAGAGGATTAGTGCCTCTGAATGTTGAGGTTCCCCTCAGCCACCATGGCTAGTAGCAATTGAGACCTTCGATCCTAAGACAATAACCACTTCGGATCCTAGGGCACACCAATGGAGTCGCCCGGATCCGAAAGTAGACCTATTAAGATGTTGACTTGTAAATAGAGCCAATCACGGGTGATGGGTGTGTGGTAGGGTTGCCAAGTCGTTCTGACTTACCGGCGGGGGAGCGTAGCTTCGGTCCGGGAGTTGTTGCAGGACGCGCGGAAGTTGTTGCAGGACGTGACGCACGACGTAGAGCACGTTGGGGGCGTGGCCCCGACGATCTGGGCCACGCCCCCAACGTGCTCTACGTCATGTGTCACCTCCGTTTCCCCCCGGGGCCACGGCGGAAATCGGGCCTCCAAAGCGGGGGTTTCCTTGCCCCCACTTGGCAGCCCTAGTGTGGGGGTGTGTGGTGTGGGGCACGCATATAAGCCGGGCACGCACCAGCCAATGCATCTTTCGTTCAGAATGTAATCCAATAAACAAGAGCTGATTCGCTATGCTGAGTCTCCGGTCTCAGTACTTTTCACTAGATAGGTGGCAAGGCACAAAAGGGCCTTCTCACGCACGGCACCAAGATTATGCAACTCCCTTCCAAGAGATAATAGTCATCTATCCCCTTCTCTCATTGTCTTCTGCCGGTGGGTGAAGACTTTTCTGCTTTGTCTGGCATTCTCTCGCTGACGCTAACGGACCCTTCCTCCCATTCATGTGTTTCTTTGTTAATGTGTCTTAATTCTTGTCAGGGCTCTTTTTGTAGAAAACGCCCAGCAGGAACTCATTAGCATAATAGGCCATACCCAACAGCAGGAACTCATTAGCATATTAGGCCACACCCCTGATAGCATCGCTCATTCGCATATTAGGCCACACCCCTGTGTTACCAGAAGTGTGGTCACCCAGCCACACCCACCTTTTGCTTCTTATTCTCTTTACCTTGTTTGTTGACAAAACCCAGGGCTTTTTTTTTGGAGCAGGAACTCCTTTGCATGTTAGGCCATACACCCCTAATGTAGCCAATCCTAATGAGTTTTTGCTGTTGGGTGTGGCCTATTATGCTAATGAGTTCCTGCTGGGCGTGGCCAACTTGGGAGCCAGCCGGAACTCCGTTCCTGTGCGTTCCTGCCCCAAAATAGCCCTGATTCTTGTAATTTATTTATACGGGCTTAACAGTTTATTGTTCACTGTCTCGGGGACCCTAAATTAGATTGAAAGGCAGCTTTAAAACATTTGAAATCAATAAAAATAATAAACCAGATCAGCCCTAAGAGATCCGGACAATACCAAAAATCAGTTCAAGGATTTCCTTGAGAAAACGCTCCCATAGAAAAGGTGCCACAAGAGGAATTTAAAGCCTCTGATTCCAAGGCGTGGAGGTCCTTTTGGAAGGTGGCTCAATGAAGAAATGGCCGGTATTCACCACAACGATGAGCCTGTAAGTACTGGACCGCTTCCCAATAAATGTCACCACATCAGAGGTGCATTGAAACTTGATGGCCACGAAACTAACAAGTGGAAAAAACGTGAACCTGAGGCTCAGGGCCTGTGCTTCTTTTCTCATACAAAAGGAAAAAGAGTGGACTTGACGCAGGACCACTTACCTGTCCCCTCCCTGAGCTCCAGGTCTTCGTGGCCTTCGAGCCACTGGTAGCACGGGAAAATATAGATTTGGCCCTGCGGGGATATCACCTTGACATAATTACAGTACCACTTGGTTGGAATGACATTAAGCAAAGGCGTTTTCTGGAGACGGAGGAGCAAAATCTCTCCCAGGTCCTGATCACAAATAAGTTCAGATTTGTTTTCCTGAAAAGGCAAAATTGGAGGATCAATCGGCATCCATTAAGGAGGGAAAAGCTGGTTGAGACCAAGGATCTACGAGTTCGAGTGTCATTCCTAGTTGGAGATTCCCCCAAGTTTAATCTGCTCCCTTGCAGTCCCTCTGGGTCTCAGCCATGCCCTCCTCCATTCTGACCGGCCCTCTGGCTCCCCGAGGGACCTCTGTGCCAACAGATGGACATCAAACTGCACCCTCTTTCCTTCCATTGCTTACATTTCCCCAGCTGAGTTAGTACAGGGCTAATCCTTGACCCCATCCCAAAAAAGCTCCCCACCCAAGACATTTTAATTGTGATTAGAGCAGAGGTCATTTCGGGGGGGATTGCGGGGGATCGCAGTTCCCCCGGCTGAGGTGCAGGGGGCGGGGCACATGATGAAGCCCCGCCCCCTGCTTCCGGCCGCCCCGCTTTCAGCCCTCATTCAGCCAGGAGGAGGCAGGAGAAGAGTGATGTCAGGGGGTGTGGCATATGCTAATGAGTTATGTTAATGAGTTCCCCTAGCTCTTTTTCTACGAAACGACCCCTGGATTAGAGCTGCCAGGCTCTAGGTGGGGCCTTGAGTCCTCCTGGAATTATGATTGATCTCTAGGTTACAGGGATCAGTTCCCCTGGAGAAAATGGCTGCTTTGGAGGGTGGCCTCTACGGCATTATACCCCACTGAGGTCCCTCCCCTCCCCAAGCTCTGTCCTCCCCAGGTTTTACCCCAAATCTCCAGGAGCTTCCCAACTCAGATTTGGCAACCCTTGCTGGCAATGCTCCCCCTGAGCAGTGGGGTCTCGTGAATGAAAATTCTACTTTGTGAGCTCCTGGCATTAAAGCTGTGAGCCAGCGATTTGGCGACTGCATAAATCAGGTTGCTCTGGAGCCCTCCTTCCTGAACTAAGGCAAAAATGTATGAGCCGGAGGCTAAAAAACAGTGAGCTAGCTCACACTGACTCCGCTTAGAGGGAAACACTGCTTGCTGGTGAGGGTAAAGTAGATACTGTTCACTGGGGGAGTTCTCACGAAGGAGGGCTCCTGCAGAAAAAAAAGGCATCCCAGATGCCACTTGCAGCGGAAGAGCCCCAGCAGAAAGGAAAGAAACACTTCACAACCGTTTCCTGTTTGGCACATGTACTCCTCCGCACCTCTCCAGGGCTTTTGGGGAAGCGGAAAAGCCACAGACAGAAACCACACAAGGGCTTCTGACAGTGGTCATTTCCTAGAAAAAGAGGTGCAGGGGGCTCATTAGCATAACTCATTAGCATAACTTATTTGCATATGCCACACCCCCTGACATCACCAGAAATGTGTCAGAAGGCAACACCCAGCACTCACTGGATCGTTTTGGATTGCTAGCTATTGGGGGGGGGGGGAGCGCGCAAACCTGCAGATCTGTCCTGCAGAGGAGGGAGAGCTTGTACCTGAATAAAACTTAGTCTTAAAGGTGCCCCTGGACAGTTTTGGGCTGGGGCCTCTGCAGCTTACCTGGCTGCTTCTTGCTCTGACTGAGGGCTGCTGGGAGCAGGGGGTAGGGCTTGTTGCATGTGCCGCCCCCTGGGCTCTTTACTGCCGGAGCTCCGCTCCTGTGCGCTCCTGCAGGAAATGACCCCTGGCTTCTGAAGACAAGACCCTGCCAGAATAAATGTACATCTAAAATGCCGTGGAGGGAGGACGGCCCACCTCCAGGTGTGGCCTGGAGATCTCCCAGAATTCTGATTCCTCTCCAGACTACAGAGATCAGTTCCCCTGGAGAAAATGGCTGCTTCGGCAGCTGAACTCTTTGATATTATACCCCGCTGAGCTCTCTTCCCACCCTCAAATCTCCAGAAATGTCCAAAGAATGCCCAAAGCCGGAGCTGGCGAACCTGGGAAGAGTTATTTTGAATAGGAGGGAAACAGCCAATGGGGAAGGGCCTAAAAGCCTCTGCCTCCATCCCAGTTTGTTAAACATGTGTGTAAAATGTGCCATTTGGCCTTCTTTACGATGTTTTCCTTATTAATTTGTGTCAAGAGAAAATGTCTCAGCCGCCTCTCTGGAGACTTGCTTCAGCAGCCCACTCACAAAGCGAAAATAGTAAAATTATACAGACAAACAACCATCCAACTTACCACCAGCCCCCAAGACTAAAAGTAATGTTCATCGGCTTAAAATGGTACCTATAAAACAGCTCCCAAGCGACACAATGGCCACAAAATCAAAACCCCTCACTTAAAAGCTGGGGTAACAAGGAACAAGTTGTCAGAGACTGGGATGCCTATTGTGGTTTTTGCCGGTTGCTTAGTGGGCCAAGATCCAGGCCAATAGGATCTGATGGAGGAAACCAGATGGGGGTCGGGGATTCCAGTGCAAATGGGGCGGGGGAGGTCTGACAGTGGGACAAGGTGGAATAAGGGAAGGAGAAGGAGATATGGATATGCTCAATCCCCTTCCAACCTTCGTCCCATCTCAAGAGATGCTGGCTGCAGGGATAGGAAAAGGTACCCTTCCCCGACACTGGTGTTGTGTAATGCTGGTCTATCAATAGTAAGATCTCTGTTCTGCAAAGTTATCTGATAGAACACGTGGTAGACCTGACTTGTGTGACTGAAACCTGGGTGAGGGAGGGTGAAACAGTTGCCCTGAACCAACTGCCCCCCCCCGGGGGGGTTCAGTCCACCACCAGTCCCGGTTTTCACTTAATATGTGTTCTTTGCTTTTGTAAACTGGGTAGTTTCTGCTGCCACCAGGAATTTAAGGAATTCCAGTCCTTCTATCCTTTGCTGCTGGTAGGGTTGCCAAGTCCTTACCCTCTGTATAGAGTCCAGTGCTGGTCCAGGAGTGTGCACGCACGTGTGAAGCGTGCGTGCGCCACAACCACGTCACCTAGAAGTAACGCAACCATGTCGGACACGCCGGGGGCGGGGCCACAGTCAACGCGCCTGACGCGACACTTCCGGGTGACGTGCTGACGCCGGGCATGTTGCGTGCTTTGGGGGTGGGGTTCCCCCCGGGGCCTGATCCGCCAACGGTGGGTAACGGGCCTCTCGGGCGGGGGTTTCCCCGCTCCCCGGGGGGACTTGGCAAGCCTAGCTGCTGGTAATGTGACCCAGAGTCTGGGCTTTTCAGGGATCTATGTGGTCCTGAGGAAAGACGGAACTGAATTCTGGGATAAACTTGAACAAAAAATGATTTATTGAAATAAGAACAAAATATGAGGCTGGTTTATCTGTAACTGTTTGGGAATAAGGGACCTGTAAATATGTCTGGCAAATGTATCACACACAGAGTCCTTTTTTTTGTGTCACTCGGATCCAACACTAACAGGAATCACTGTTTCCCGGACTGAAGGGCAAGGGGGGCGTGGCGCTACTCATCCGGGAGGCTTTCTCCTTCAGGCCACTCCCCGAGACAAAGATTGCTGGCATTGAATGTGTGGGCCTTGTGTGGGAGGCCGAGGAGAGTTTGGCCATTTGGCTGGTGTACCGACTGCCTAACGCACTGGCAAATGCCCTGTCGGGCCTCTTGGAAGGTGTATCTGGCTGGGCCGGAGCACCCCATACTTTTGGTCTTGGGGGACTTCAGTGTCCAGGCAGATGATGCGGCCTCCTCTCAGGCCACAGACCTGGTGTCGTCCATGGCAGCACTGGGACTCTCCCAGTTTGTATCAACCCCCACACATCAAGCAGGCCACATGCTGGATCTGATCTTTGCATCAGGGATTACGGTGGACCAGATTACTGCAAATGCGGTACCATGGTCGGACCACCTGGCCTTGAAGGCCCACCTGGGTATCCCTAACCCTCCCTGTTTAGGCGGCGAGCAGTTTCATGCTCGCCCACGGAGTCGAATGGACCTAAATCCAGGAAGCTCCGCAGGATCGGATTCCCTCTGGCAACTTCTTGGATGTGCTGGCGGAAGACTGGCAATCCCGTCTTTCCGAAGCCATCGACGAAGTTGCTCCCCAGCGTCCTCTTCGCCCCCGTACCAAACTAGCTCCGTGGTATAACCCCGAGCTACGGCGGATGAAACGGGAGCTAAGACGGCTAGAGAGAGGGTGGCGGCGAGCTCATGACGAAGCCACAAGAGCATCCTGTAGGTCGTTTATGAGAAACTATGAGGTGGCAGTGTAGGCTGCGAAGAAGGGAATCTCAAGTTTTCCTCATTCTTAAGCAGGGCTATTTTGGGGCAGGAACGCACAGGAACGGAGTTCGGGCTGGCTCCCAAGTTGGCCACACCCAGCAGGAACTCATTAGCATAATAGGCCACACCCAACAGCAGGAACTCATTAGGATTGGCTACATTAGGGGTGTCTGGCCTAACATGCAAAGGAGTTCCTGCTACAAAAAAAAGCCCTGGGCTTTGACAACAAACAAGGGAAACAGAATAAGAAGCAAAAGGTGGGTGTGGCTGGGTGACCACACTTCTGGTAACATGGGGGTGTGGCCTAATGTGCTAATGAGCTGTGATGATGGGGGTGTGGCCTGATATGCTAATGAGTTTCTGCTGTTGGGTGTGGCCTATTATGCTAATGAGTTCCTGCTGGGCTTTTTCTACAAAAAGAGCCCTGTTCTTAAGTAAAGTATCAGCTGAAATCACCAAATTACGCTTCAGTCTCAGTACTTTATAGTATCATACAGAGGGGCGATTTAAAACTCCTACGTATAGAATGCTCAGTATCAATGTTATCTGGATCTCGGCCATGGCTATATCTATTCCAATTAAATTAGGATGCCCTTTGGGTAAAAAAGAGTCATGCCAAAGTCTTGCATGTCTGAACAGGGGAAACCTCAAGCAATCTGGTACAACGCCTTTAAAAAGTGTCCAGTTCAGACACGTAAACCGACACCATTTGAGAACTAAAAGCCGATGATTACATGTGGGTTTTTAATGCAATGTAGCGCTCCTTTGGGAATATTACCCATAAACCTTTTCCTTAGGGAGTGCAAGAGATTCTTTTCAAAAGAAAGTGCGGCGCCACAAAAGGTTTCCCTGCCCTGTGTCCTCCCGCCCCACATATCCATCACGACTTACCTCTCCGCTGATGAACTTGGAGGGCCAGCTGCCCAGGCTGGTTTGGGGGCTGTCTCCTTCGGTGCCCACAATGGAGATGGAAACTGAATCGAGGGCACCCAAGTGTAAAAAACTGCCCGTGGACATACAGATGGTGTATTTCGCCATGCTACAGCCTGCGGGGAGGACAATTCGGTGCCTTTTGCCTCGTCTCGCAAGGCGGTGGCTGGAAGAGGAAGCTCCAGTCTGTCCCAACCAGCTACTTCAGCCTTCTCTCCTCTGGATGGATTTTTGTAGAAGTGCCAGCCAACATTGGCAAAACAACTCAGCCCTTCTCCAGCTCCACCCCTGTCAGCAGAGGCGGGCTGAGACCCAGGCAGCCTCAGGAGGGGGTATGGGACTGTGACTCGTGCCTGGGATTGTTTCGTTCCCTCCAGCAAGGCTCCAGGGTCACCGGCAAGCAGGAAATGCGGAAGGCGAAGCTTTCCCCCAAACCCCTAGGGCTGCCAACCTCCAGGTGGAGCCTGAAGTTCTCCCTGAACGACAACTGATTTCCAGACTGCAGCGATCAGTTCTCCTGGAGGAAACAGACGCTTCAGGGGGTAGACTTGATCAGGGCTTTTTTTGTAGAAAAAGCCCAGCAGGAACTCATTAGCATAATAGGCCACACCCAACAGCAGAAACTCATTAGCATGTTAGGCCACACCCCCACATTACCAGAAGTGTGGTCATCCAGCCACACCCACCTTTTGCTTCTTATTCTGTTTACCTTGTTTGTTGTCAAAACCCAGGGCTTTTTTTGTAGCAGGAACTCCTTTGCATGTTAGGCCACACACCCCTAATGTAGCCAATCCTAACGAGTTTCTGCTGTTGGGTGTGGCCTATTATGCTAATGCCTTCCTGCTGGGCGTGGCCAACTCGGGAGCCAGCCGGAACTCCGTTCCTGTGCGTTCCTGCCCAAAAATAGCCCTGGACTTGATGGAATCTATGGAATGACATTACAGCGGAGCTCTTTCCCCAGGCACCGCCCACAAATCCCCAGGAATTTGTCAAGCCAGAGTTGGCAAGCACACGTCTGCATGGTAGGGGGAAAAAACACCTTGACTTGATAAACTTTCTGCTTGTTAGGCAGGAGGGTAAGGCATCTGGACAGGCAGGCAGCAACAGGATGATCCAGAGGTAAATTTGCTCATGTTGGAGATAAGGTTTGGAGAGCAGCATGTGAATAATAATAACAACAACAATAACAACAACATTTATTTATGATAATTATGGAGCTGCGGTGGCTCCAGTGGTTAAGACGCTGAACTGCAGGCTGCGGACGGTCGGTAGTTCAGCAGTTCGAGACCCGAGTTGCCGCATGACGGAGTGAGCTCCCGTCTCTAGCTCCAGCTCCTGCCAACCGAGCAGTTCGAAAGCAAGAAATTGCAAGTAGATAAATTGGTACCACTTCGGTGGGAAGGGAACAGCGTTCCGTGCGCCTTGGTGTTTTAGTCATGTCGGCCACATGACCATGGAAACGTCTTTGGACAGCGCTGGCTCTTCGGCTTGGAAACGGAGATGAGCACCGCAACCCTAGAGTCGGATTCGACTGGCTTTCGAGCAAGGGAACCTTTACCTTTATGATAATTATAATTATTAAAATTATTAAAATTAATAACAAAAGAAACATACAAGTCTATTTGCTTTCACTGCTCATGCAGCAAATGATGAATGTGCAAAGAAAAGAGTTCTTGTTTACAGAATGCATTCTGTTCCATCAAACTCGAGAGCTTCAGTTGGGCTTTGAGCTGTCATACCGCTCATAACTTGCCATTCCATAGTAGCAGTCCAGTCCCCAGATGTCAAGCACAGTTTAGGGGTGGCTGCCCTTGGTGCCCACCAAGGTGAGAGAAATCCAGTCTTTAGTGGGTGACCCCAGATAGGTTCCAGTAGACACACGAGCTGTATAGAGAACCATGTTGCAGCTCAGGGGGGTCTGCAGCAGCGTTCCCTCTAAGCTGAGTTAGTGTGAGCCAGCTCACAGTTTTTTAGCCTCCGGCTCACACATTTTTGCCTTGGCTCAGGAAGGATGGTTCCAGGGCAATCTAACTGATGCAGTAGCCAAATCGCTGGCTCGCAGCTTTAATTCCAGTAGCTCACGAAGTAGCATTTTTGCTCACAAGAATCCACAGCTTAGAGGGAGCATTGGTCTGCAGAGAATATTTCTTCTCTCCAATGGATTTCGAAGTGGGAGAGAGAACCGGATGGCATCCCAAACACTCTCCCAAGCAAACTTTATAAACGTCTATAAGGTTTCCAACCTCGGTGTGGGGCCTGGAGATCTGGAATTCCAATGGATCTCCAGGCTATGGAGATCAATTCCTTTGGAGAAAACGGCTGCTGTGGAGGGCAGATTCTAGGGCATTACATATCCCACCACTAGGGCTTCTTCCCTCCCCAACACCTGCCCTCTCCGTGCTCCACCTCCTAATTTCCAGGAATTGGCCAACCAGATTCGGCAATCCTCTGCTGGGGGGAGTGTAAGGGATGGGGGCTGAACGAGCCTATAATTTGCTAAGCCCCGATGAGTGGAAGGGGGCCATGAGTTTGACAGGATCCATCCTTGGAGGAGGAAGGTAGCCTGGTGGGGGTCATTGCCGGCAGCTGCAAGGTTTGGTTATCTCGAGGGAGTGGCAGCAGCCCAGGGGGTTAGATGCAGATTAACCTTTCAGGAGGCACCAGCGTATCCTTGGACGTCGTTGATAAGCTGCCTCTGGAGATGGAACTGGATTCTGTTCTACGGTGATTACCACTGAACTGTCCATGAGGACTTGTCGTATAAGAAGCTGCAGCTTCCCTTTTTAGAATTGCCAACGTACCTTCACCATTCAAATGTTTTACTGCCAACCAGGGCTTTTTTTTGTAGAAAAAGCCCAGCAGGGACTCATTAGCATAATAGGCCACACCCAACAGCAGAAACACATTAGCATATTAGGCCACACACCCCACATTACCAGAAGTGTGGTCATCTGGCCACACCCACCTTTTGCTTCTTATTCTGTTGACCTTGCCAGGGCTTTTTTTGTAGCAGGAAAATGGTTTGCCACGGGCTGCAGACGGACTCGTTCGGTGTGATCGCGCCGGCGCACGCCTGTTCCCTCTGGCCGTCCTCTTTGCAGCGCGTGCCGAAGGATAAAACCCTGGTGCACCACCGTCGCGTCTGATTGCTTAATGGCAGATCAGAATGTGACGGCGCAAATAGCCACGCCTCCCCCCCCTCCCGTGTTTTCCAGCACGTGTGGCCAGGGCCTAAACATGGCAGAACCCCTCGTTTAAAATCCTGGGTAAAGAGGAACATTTCAGCCTAGCATTTGCTGTGTGCTGAGAGTTTCCTGTCTGCTGGCTAGCTACAAACTTATCTACTGAAGCGGAACCCCAAGGTCGGTTGGACCTGACAGGGACTTATTTTGAGTCAATGAAAGCAGTCAATGGGGGGAAGGCCTAAAAGCCGCATCTTCCACCCAGATTTGTTCCATACATTTTTGTAAGTTGTGCCGTTTGGCCTTTAAGATGTTTTCTTAATTGATTTGGGTCCAAAATGTCACTGCCACCTCTTTGGATACTTGCACATTTAAAATTGAGGGGAGGAGGGTTGAGTAGGAAATACAGCCAGTGGGGGAAAGGCTCCAAAGCTGCCGCCTCTTCCCCCCAAATTTGAAGGGTTGCCAAGTCCATCTTCCACCCCCAACGGGGGACTTTGGGGGCGTTCCTGGAGGGGCTGATCCTTTATCTTTTCATAGCAGTCAGAGATGTGCAAATAAAGCAAGGTGAAACTTTTCCCGTGGCTTCCGCCCGTGCGCAGGATCTCCAGAAACGGCAGTTCCCTGCACTTAAAGGAGCCGGCGTTTCCCTTTTAAATGCCAGAACCGGCATTTCCCCTTTAAGAGCAGCCGCGTTTCCCTTTTAAGAGCACGAAACTGGCATTTCCCTGCAAGCTTGCGGAGCTCAGGCTTGGGAGGAAACACGGGTTCCACACACTTAAAGGGAGAGAGATGGGTGGCTGTGGGTGTTGGGGGCGGGGCTTCCCCCACCGGCCATCTGGCCGGCAGCGGGTAGACCCCCCCAAAAAATGGGGGACCCCTGACAAACCGGGGGGGTTGGCAACCCTACAAATTTGTCAAGCATATTTGCCATTTGGCCTCTAAGATGTTTTCTTGATTGATATGTGTCAAAAATGTCTCTGCCTCCTCTCTGGAGACTTGTTCCAGCTAACTCCCAAAAGGGAAAATAACAAAATTATACAGACAACCTTCAAACTTATCCCCAGTAAGAAACAGCCATGAAAAGCCAAGAGCCGTGTCCACTACCAGCAGCAGCAGGAACTGCTGCAGGAAGTCATTCGACAACCTAAAACTGTATAAAGTAGCCATAAAAATACAACTAAGGCCCCGGTCACATGGAGAATTTGCCACGCGAAAGGCACGAATGCCGGGCGGATTTTCGGGACGTGATCACACCGCAACATCTGGCAAGCGTAGCGCACCTGTGACCAACCCGTGGCGTGTTGCCAAAGACGCGCCGTTAAACAGTACCTGCAAAGATCTACTGGCAAATGGTTTGCCACGGGTTGCAGACGGACTCGTTCGGTGTGATCGCGCCGGCGCACGCCTGTTCCCTCTGGCCGTCTTCTTTGCAGCGCGTGCTGAAGGATGAAACCCTGGTCCACCGCCGTCGCGTCTGATTGCTTAATGGCATGGCAGATCAGAATGTGACGGCGCAAATAGCCACGCCTCCCCCCCCTCCCGTGTTTTCCAGCACGTGTGGCCAGGGCCTAAACATGGCAGAACCCCTCGTTTAAAATCCTGGGTAAAGAGGAACATTTCAGCCTAGCACGTATAGTGGAGTCAGCACCAGGCAAGACTTCCCAGGATTACACCAGATCTCCAAACTACACAGAGCAGTTCCCCTACAGGAAATGGCTGCTTTGGAGAGGTCCCTTCCCTCCGCAAACCTCACCCTCCCCGGGCTCAACTCCCAAATCTCCAGGAATTTCCCAGGTCAGAACTGGCAACCCTAACTGGTAATGTGGTTGAGAGTAGGGTGTGGCATGGGCAGGGTGCAGAAACGAGACTGCTAGCATTCAAGTTAGAAAGGTTGAATAAAGGAGTTGTGCACTGCTCCAGATAGAGGCATCAGGATGGAACAAAAGATGGAAAATAAAATGGCAACCAGGACTGGTATCTCCCTGACTAAAGTTGTCCCTAGCTGCCGTGTTTAAAGGAACGGGCACTTACGT